TCATACGTGGCACTGTGACTGGTGTGACCTCTAGAGGACGGGATGTGTCTAAGGCAGTGGTTATGGGCGATGTAGACGTGGTTGCGGAATGGAGCACAGACCTTATACATCGTTAGGTTACTGTAAGTCATTGTATAGCCCATTTATGCATTCAGTCACCTTTACGACTCCGAATAGTGTCAAATTCGTGGTGCATTTCCTAGGGTTTGATCACCATCAGAAGGTTTATCCTTTATCCCTCATGACCCCTACGGAAGTGATACTCTTTTAAATGATCTGTATTTTCGACAGCGTGGTTCAAAACTTTTCTAATTTTTGTAGCATGACAAGTATTCAGTAAATGAATGAGAATAATTGAGACAAGCAAATAACTAGACATACACTGAATGATGTAACTAAATCATGCGACCGCCTTAGCTCGATTACCTCTCAGTTTGAGAGGAGGATCTACTCGACCAGCTTTCTAGACGTGTTTTCTAGAGACTAGATAAAGAAGACTTTCGTAAAGAAATCCTCAAGCAGCAGCTGAAAACACAAGTGAAATGTTCGAAGACCTTTGTGAACGATGAATGCCGGGAAAACAAGTCGAGTGTGATGACTGGTCATGTCATATTAATAATATGGTAGTAATAATAATACAATAATTGACTTTTCCAGGCGAGTATCTAGTTTCTATTAGGCCATTTAAGGTGCCAGAGTTCATTGATGTATTTAGATCACCAGAACGACATTAGGAGCATTAAAAAGCTCTAACCACCCTGTCAGGAGTCATAGCATGTACTTAACAACACAGCAGATGTGATGACAGGTCATCTCATATTAATAATAACGGCGATACTAATGATATAAAAAAGGATAAGGGATAAAGCTCTCGGCGTTGATCAATCCCTGAGGGATGCGCCATGCATTCAACTTTGTTAGGAATCGTTCTGAGGTGATTGAATGCATATCTGGCCTTTACAATGACTCCTAGTGGCCTACCGATGTATCGAGCCAGTGGTGTTATCCTTCCAGACAAGACTGGTACCGATTTACCGACCCTGGAGGGATGGGAGGCTTGCTGGGCTATGGGCGTGGGGATCAATTCCACGTGTGTGTTGCAGAGCGCCTCCGATCACTGCGCCACATGCGTCCTTATAGTAATATAATTATTGACTTTTCTAGACGAGGATCTAGTTTCTGCTATTCCCTGTAACGTTCCAGAGTTCTCCGATGGGTTTTGATAACAAGAAGGACATTAAGAGCTCTAACCATCGTGTCAGTGGTCATCGCATGAACTTGACATGTCGCCGAACTCAGATACTGCTGGCTGTCGTCAGGATCGTTAAGACATACCACCTGCTTAAATTTACGGCGTATTCGTCAGCGTCTGAACTCCCTGTCTGTCGATGTTGGTCGAACCTGTGGATTCCATTTTTTCCTTAAGTAACACGAAATACTTCTTTCATTGCACTCTTGGTAATCAGTTTGGTAGTTCTAATCGTGCGCTCGTAGCGTTGCATAATAATTTAGCGAGCTCCCTTTTAGAACTTTGTGCAGAACTTTTCGTTTAAGGAGAACTCCTACACAAAGAAAGCGGCATTAAGCTTATAAGGTGAACAAAACCTTCAATTAATGAAACTTTCATCAATTTCACTGCAGTAGCTTCCACCAGGATAGACCTTTTATCAAAGCCTAAAGGTGAGTTTCTAAAATTATGAGACCGTTCTGATGGCTCTGGTTGCCACGATAAATTCAAGCAATCTCTCACATAATTCGTTTCACAGATTTTTCAGATGTTCTACGTGGTGCTCCAAATAAGCGAATCCTTTGTAGACGGTATAACAGTAAAACTCCTCGATTACATGAAATCGCATCATCTCATCTTCATCGTAGATTAGTGCTGGAGTGTAGAATACGGAACTTGACTACGGTTCATGTACGTTTAAGCGTAGGCGTCCGGTTAGGGTCATTAGCAGTTCTTAGGAAAAATAGATCTTATGCCAAGTTCGTGTTGACAGACGCATGAATTTCAGCAACTTTCTTGGGATGGCGTATCTCCTGAAGTAGTTTATATAACATGAAAGCTTTTAACAAGCGCTACCTTCACGTTGTGACCAGTCTGACGACATTATAAATAATCTTCGATGTCCTCAAAGAATACTTCCAGTGCTAGATTGAATAAAAAAAGTATGTTGTAAAAATAAGCTGAACGTATTCTGGGATGTGCGGCGCGTTTGGCGCAGTGGTCGGAGGCGCCCTGCAACGCACACGGGAAATCGATCCCAGCGCACATGACCCAACAAGACTTCCATCTTTCCGAGATCGACAAATTGGTACCAGACTTCTCTGGGAGAATAGCACCATTGGCTCGATACATCGGTAGGCCACCGCGAGTCTTTGTAAAGGCGAGATATGCATTCATTCACCTCCAAACGATGCTTAATGAAGCCGAATGTATGGCGCAACCCTCAGGGATTAGTCGACGCCGAGAGCTTTATCCTTTTATTCTATTTTACCTTTTACTCTGAGATTTTAGCACCTTTGCGTTTTCCTCCAATCCAACACGCCGACCGCTGATACTTTTACATTTTTTTTTGATTACTGATTAAAGATACTATTTTCGATTACTTTTCTTACATAGTGTTTTGTTTTATGTTTGAAAAATCAACAACGTTATTCCTCCTGAGTAATATTGCGGTTATTACAGTTGTTATCATAATTGGTTTCTATCGTTGTAATTCCTAGTTTTGTAACTATTACTATTAGCTGTTATTAGTGAATTATCACTAATTAATTAACACAGCCTCCCAACGGTTTACCGTCTCATCGCGGCTGGGAGGTGTTCCTGGGTGTCGGACTGCGATGTACAGCGGGGGATTCATCCTCTAGCAGGGTCTCCCAAGCAGTGAAGGAGTCCGACATTTCCATTAGGAAGCCTAGCTTAGAGTAAACCAATACCAGGATCCACTACCGTCCTGGTATCAAAGTTGGATGGTGGTAAATCTCCCTCTGATCCACAAGGTCTGCGACTGCCAGTGGTGGTGACGACCTGGGGCAGACTTTGGCCAGGCTGACGTCGGGACTCTGGGGAACCATTATGGCTTAACCAGTACAACTATTGAGGACGGGCCATTCAAGTATCAAGTAAGTAATTACCACAGCTGAGAAAAAGGCGAAACGAAAGACCCACATGGTATGGTGGTGAAAAAGCCAATAATTATATTATTATGAGGACGCATGTGGTGCAGTGGTCGGAGGCGCTCTGCAACACACACGTGGAATTGATCCCCACGCCCATAGTCCACCAAGCCCTTCATCTCTCCGGAGTCGGCGAATCGGCACCAGGTTTGTTTCGGAAGGTAGCAACACTGGCTCGATACATCGGTGGGCCACCACGAGTCATTGTAAAAGCCAGATATGCATTCAATCACCTCCAACGATACTTAATGAAGTCGAATGCATGACGCATCCGTCAGGGATTGATCAGCGCCGAGAGCTTTATCCTTATTACCCCTTCATGAGGAAGAATAGGCAGTAAAAAAATTAACTACACTGTGATTAATCAATAATCATCTTGTATTAGTATATGGTTTACGTGGCCGTTTTTCCAGCAAGTAATGGTGTGCGTATCAGCTCTACTAACTGTTCCGTTTCTGGTGACGGACACGTTATGCGCTGGGAGCGACAGCAGTAAGTAAATGCTAATTTTATAACCACAGTAATGCTGAGATACTTGTAAAAGTTGGACCCCAAGCTAGATTGAATTGCGATTACCCTTCCGGGCTCACATGTTGCGCACAGTACCACTGAGGCCCCTTCTTTGTTTTTCTCTCAACCAGTTTTTGCTAATTTTATAAATAAATAACATTTTAAGTAGGTTTTTACGAGAGACTACAAGCGCATATTCTAACTGTTATTGTTTTAATGGGTATACAGTCAAATTAAGCAGTGCGCAAAAGTTTCGTTAAGCAAGGTAAAAAGAAAAGTGGTTTAGCAATATTGCTCAATGAACTTATCAGTTCGACGTTCGTCGTAAGCGGTCTGTCAACCATCATTCAGACTACGTTCGGAATGCGGTAAGAGAAATTCAGTTTATCAAATATTAAATATCAAAAAAATAAAAAAATAAGTATATAAGGATGCTTATGTAAATCCGCTTTCATTTAACCTCGGTATGAATGATCAGTCTACCTTCTTTCACTGATAAACCAATACGAAGTTCATACCAGATATTTATTCGGCTGGGCTGACATTTATTGGCGTTAACTGGTCAGTGAAAGAATATACAGGAATGCATGTAGCTTAATAGTTAGAGGTGCTCTGGAATACAAACTGGTTCACTGGTTCAGTCCCGTGCTCCGCACATTGCAATCTTCTCACCTCTAAATCGTCGGCAAGTTAGTACCAGACTTAACTGACAGGGTAAAAGCACTGACTTAACACATCCATTTTATTTCGTTCTATACGACCGTTTTCATATCTGTGCGGATCCCAGCAATTCCTGCATTCGACTTGTTTTCTCGCATCCAGGTAGACATTCAAATTTTTCGCGTGTGGGTTCCGATGCTGTATGAGCATTGTCGTCTTCAGTCATAAGATTTCATTGGATGCTAATCCTGTCGATTCTCTTTGAAGTCCTGAGATAGTCGAGCTAGAGCATGGATCAGGGGGAGTATGCAGTGGTTCCCAGACAAGTCTCTAGCAATTCCCGACCTCAGAGGGATGAGAGGCTCGTTAATCTCGTTGCAGGAATAAACCAACACCGTGACTCGTAATGAACGGTATCACTACCAGTGCGCTACCTCTCTCCTAACACATCGATAAGCATCAAATCATCTTTAAGATTCCACTAATATGTTCAAATGCATGGCGCATCTCCACGCGATTAGTCAACGCCGAATACCTCATTCTTTATACGCGGCAGCGATTTAACTAACGTTTATTCTCTACACAGCAATAATCTCTAACAAAAATATAGAAAAATGTTATTATTAAATATTAAACGTTTTGTATCAAAGGCTCGCTCTTCTCCAAGGGACTGCGTTCGCTTATGTGCCATCAGTGCAAGTGTTTATGGGACAATGTTTGGTCAACAGCAGCACTCCGGTCCCGGAGTCCGAATACTACAGTAAATTGGCGCTTGTAAGTTTGTCGTATGTATATTCACGTCTTAGTCATTTAATGCTTTAGGTTCATTTTTTTCCTGTTACCACATAGAGATTATTTTTTTCTTTATGACGTTACTACTTTCAGATTAAAAAGATGAACTGTTCCAATTCCTGAGCGCTTAAAAGTTGCACGATTCGTTTTTCAAATACCTGTTGATAAGTGCAGTAAAAGTTACGACAGTGGCTTGAGAAATGCTTAACTCTGACGGTTTTTTTTGTAGCACTATTATAATAATCGAAACCGCAGAAAATTGCTCGAATTCTCGGATAGTCCGTTTTCACAGGTAGTACTGGTCCTTTCTCTTTCAATCGTCGTCCATGGGGCTGACTTGCTTGAAGATTAGTGAACATCCACAAAGCACATTTTGTGATCCATAAGTCGTCTACAGATGCAAATGCAATTGATCGTCAAAGGCTGCGAACATGTCGTGCTTCCATGTAGGTGGTCGGTCGTTTGCATCTTCTTGAAATCGACTCTACTCTTCGTTGAAATAGTAGCACCGCCATAGGTTGGTGAAGCATTGCACGGGCAGAACAACAGAGGGCTCATGTAAGGCCATAAACTCTGATTTATAATGCCAATACAATAAGGTTACACACTTTATGCAAGCTTGTGATAACATTGATTTATGATTCCCTCACAATGAGGTTAAGGTTAATGTGCTAATTAATGTGCTAAAAGGTATATGACAGTAAAATGAGGTCAATTTACTACAGTGATCACTTGTCATAAGAGTTAACAACCTGAACCACCTACATAGAGTGGCCGATAAGATGAACAGGAAAACCATAAGAGCCTTTATCAGAATAGTATACTGGCTCACAAGGCCGCTTAAATGTGTTCCGGATAATGTGGTATTTTGGCGTAGTTTCTAAACTTCTCCTAAAACATTTGTCGACGATCGCTTCTTCATAGTTCATGAACACATCAGATAAAGGAAGACGGCTCTTCTAAACAACTTTTGCCATCCGTGTTACGGTATGCGCGAAGACTTTGAACAAAGCAACACACAAAGAGCTCTCCTCACACAAAGAAGCTAGCAAAATAAAGACTGTTTATTGCAAGCAAAGCTCCTTTGAATCAAATGGAAATATTTACATACCGCGAGGTTGCTAAATGATATGAGGAACAGTGGATGTAGTCATTACTATAAGGAAATGAGATAATATGATGGAATAGCTTCATTTGAAGCCATCGATGGAGCGCTAGGATAATCTTCGTGAACACCGTTTAGAATGCACTAAACAAGCACGTTGGACGGTAGTTACGAAGATCTCTCATCCTTTCTGAGCAACATGACTATGCCCAACTTGCTTCGCTTGTCTGGATTTTCCCCTTCTGAAGGAAAGTTATAATGTAGGTTGCGAGATGCAAATGTAGTTTATGGCTTCCAGATCGAAGGAAGTCGGTGGTAGTATAAGATCAGGGCGTTTCATGATCAGGAAATTCTAGACATAAACGATTGTTCTGCTTCTTCTCGATTGATGACAGAACTTTTTCCAGCCTACGGCTGAATAAAGGCGTTTGTAACGCAGTGTTTGGGGGTGCTCTGCAATACACATGTGGTTTTTGTTTCTATTCTGCGCCTCGAGTCCACCATTCTTCCATTTTTCCAGAGTTCGTACCAAACGTATTTGGAAAGGTAGCCGCACTCAGTCGATACATCGGTAGGCCAGCGCAAGTTATTGTATAGGCCAGATGTGCACTCGATCATCAAGGATGCTCAGTGAAGTCGAATGCAAGGCATATCCCTTAGGGATTCATTAACATCCAGAAATTTGTTCCCTATCCTTTTATAACTGAGTTGAATCTTCGCACAAATGAAGCGGTGCTCATATCTAATACAGAAAAATAGCACCACTGGAATTTCAGAAAGGCAGTATTTTGAGTCTTTAAAGGGAAATAAATAATACATGAAGAGGATGTATACTATCAGAAAAATGTCCCTTATACAAACGTAAATGTTCGTTCAAAAGACTATCGCTAACATATTTTTACCTAACTTCTTTTTTTATTAAGTGCCTTTATAAATTAGGTGGAACTAAAATTCATTAGATAGAACGATAGAACACAAGATCGATAGAACTAGCTGACAGACAGGCAAGACGAAGGAACCGGACGGTGTGGTGGTGAAGTGCGCTGCTCTCCGGTAAGGGCAACAGCGCGTGTTCGTTTCCCACTGTATACATCTGCGGTCCGGAGTTTTGCAAATATCTCAGCATTTCATACGAGTTATATTTCGCAACATACCCTGCCATTAAGAAGAAAAAGGCAGTGAATAAAAGGGTTAAGATCAAAATTCATTACTCTCAGTCTCATTCTTTGTACTAAATTACGCTTAGTACATCTCACGTTACTCTGCACTCTCGCCTGGATGCTACCTAGTACTGTTTCTATGGCATTGCCAAACATCGGAGTTATCTCCTAGGGCCGTGTTAATATTATTAAATTCTTATTTCATTCGAAAATGTTAACCTTTTATTTGCTGCTTACTACAATTTTTCATGGCAGGGTATAATGTGAAACAGAACTACACCATGCTGAGATATTCGCAAAACTTGGACTCCGTACCAGATCGAACCATGATTTCCCTTTCCGGGGCTCGCATATTACACCCTGGGCCACGGGGACCCTTGCTCTGCGTTTCTATCAGCTAGGTTTCCTATCTAACGCTACCATCAGCAATCATCCGTCGGCGGGATTGATCTGGAGGCACAAATCGGCATTGAACCTAGTCAAGCTGAGGCTGTAGTCGAAATCACAATGTTAATCTTTTATTTGCCGCGTACTATAATTTTTCACAGAAGGGTATGATGTAAAATACAACCACAATAATGCTGACATATTCGCAAAACTTGGACTCCTATCCAGATCGAACCACGATTTCCCTTTCCGGAGGCTCGCTCATTGCACACTACTAAGGCCCTTGCTTTGCGTTTCCGTCAGCTAGTTTTTCTATCTAACGCCGTCATCAGCAATCTTATTTCATTAATATTTAAGTAGCATGTTTGTCGGTTTTTATTTGGATCAATTTATTTTACTACATTCATCAGATGCAAGGTTCTCTTATGGCGGCCGCATGTATGCCGATGCTAATTGGTTTCACCGGAGTCGTCGGTGTTCTAACAAAATTCATTGGACCATTAACGGTAAATAATTATTTTGATATGGAGATATTGCTTTGTAGACTGTTATAGAGACTGTAGACTCTTCTGGGAAGGTCTGGCAAATATGGCTGGACTGATTACCGTAGACATTTGTTTTTGGATAAACTCGTTGTGACTGATCGCCTCTCACTAGCTATGCTTCTTTAAGATATGAAATTTAGGTGGCAAATTTCAATGGAGTGCGTTCCTTGGTTAAATGAATTAATACTTTCATTCCCTTGCGAAATCATGCATTGCTACTACTCACTTGGATACTTGGATACCCCGTCTTCACTGGTTGTGAAGGTTCCAGCATAAATTCCATTCTTTCGGAGTTTCGCTGGTTTAGCCATTGTGGTACGCTGAAGTCCTGAGGTCACCCTGGCCAAAGTCTGCCCCAGATCGTCACCACCATATGCAGTCGCTGCCCTGTTACTAGTACCCTCACAAAAAAAGGAGCGAGGATATGTACAACCAAATAATCCGGTTATTTTGCTTCTTCTTAAGGTGTCGCCGTTGATGTTGTTGTTGGCGTTTTCACAAGTCGATACAATGGTCGACAAAATAAGTCTTCATTGGGTTGCAACAATGTAAGTGAAGTATTTTTGTCTATTATTTATCCTTTCCTTTTTATTTCTTTCGGGCGAGGAAAACACTTCGTTTTTTGTTTTGTACAAAATCTTCCCGCATATTGAATATCTTACACCATAATTCTTAGCCTTTTCCTTCGAAAGGTAGTGGCCGGATATATCATAATACTAACGAAATGATATAATCTTAACCACGACTACTTACTCACAACTGCAACGATGTCGAGATATAACTTCAATGATGCTGAGATATTGGCAAAACTCCGTACCGCAGGTGTTTGCGGTGGGGCACGAACGCGCTCTTGTCCTTTCCGGTGAGTAACGCGTTCACCACTACACCATGCGGGTCGTCCGTTTCGCCCGTCTCTCAGCTACTTCTATCGATCACTTGCCATCAGCAATCACCCGTCAACGGGATTGATAGACAATATCTCAGCATCACTGAAGTTATATTTCGCAATATACTCTGCCATTAAAATGAGTAGGCAGTAAATAAAATGGTTAAGATGCTGAGATATTTGCAAAATTCAGATCCCTCCCGGAGAAGGGTAATCACGGAATCGAATATGGCCTGGAATCTGAATTTTGCAAATATCTCAGCATCTTAACCATTTTATTTAGTGCCTACTCTTTTCGATGGCAGGGTATATTGCGAAATATAACTTTCCTGGCGAAACGAAGGACCCGCACGGTGTGGTGGTGAACGCGTTACTCCCTAAAAAGGACAATAGCGCATTCGTTCCCCACCGCAGACACCTGCAGTCCGGAGTTTCGTAAATATCTCAGCATCGTTGAAGTCATATGTTAGCATTGTTTTGATTGTATTTCACATTACATCCTCCAGTGAAAATTTATATGGAGTAAATAAAAGACTATGCAATTACTAAGTTACCTACTTACACGGCCCGAAGTTTCTCGTGATCGTCCAGGATTCATTGACATTCTTGAAGTTCTAGAAACCTCAAGCAGCACCCGAATCCTAAAACCTTCATAAATCATCGGTAGAATGCGAGCAATTGAATCAAATGGAAGAAGTGCTCGATACAAAAGATATAATGATGTTGAGTTAAACAGAACAAACTGATAAATAAATACATACTTGGACACTCGGATACTTTTATGGCCTGTCCTCACTGGTTGTGCAGCCTCCTGCATAATCTCCATTTTGTTGGAGTTTTGCAGATTTAGTCATTGTGTTTCCCTGGAGTTCCGAGGTCAGCCTGGGCAAAGTCTGTCCCAGGTCGCCACCACCACAGGCGGTCGCGGCCCTTGTGGATCAGAGGGAGATTTTCCACCATTTGAAAAGTTTGATACTAGGACGGTGGTGGATTCTTGTATTGGTTTACTCTTACTTGTGCTTCTTAATCGAAACGCCGGACTCCTCAGCTTGGGAGACCATCCCGGGGGATGAATCCCCGCTGTACATCGCAGTCCTACACCCAAGAACACCTCCCAGCCACGATGAGACGGTAAACCGTTGGGAGGAAATAAATACATACGCACATACATATATATACACATATACATATGTATATACATATATATACATATACATATATATACATATATATAGGTATATAATCCTTCCAATAATTACTACCGTAGCTTAATTATAAATTCTAAAGCTTCACACTCATCTCCAAAATTCAAGATTTCTACTGTATTAAAATGTTATCGTATTAAAACACATCTTTGGAATTGTAACTACAGTATAGGTTTAGACAAGCCGTCACACTATTCATCACCATTCTCTATCTTGCTGACGTGCTCGTTGTATTGCCTGGTATTAAACGTGGTAAACTGCATTGGTATAGAACTAATCTCTTCGGACAGTATCCAGTAAGATTCTTCGACCAGATTTTAGCTCTGTTCTTATGATCTTAATTATTTGTTACGTAACTCAGTGGTAGACGAAGATAAATTCGTCTTATTCAAACAGGTTTCAGTCTTAGGATTCTGAGATACTCCCTTTTTATAGATAATTTTATAACTATTTAGTTATTCCCATGACCGACTTTCTTTTACCCTCCGCATTGATTGATAATGTTTCTCTTCAATAAGCTGACACGAGGTTGTTATTACAGAATTTATTGGGATACAATAGTTGACGTTTCGGCGGTTTCGCCTTTTTCAGAGCCTGGAAGGGTCAAATTGAGATGCGATCTACCCAGCCAAACACTTTCATAACCCCAGTAGATAAAACTTAACAAATAAATTTGTTTTCGCATAAGAAACCGCTTCATTTAAACACCTACCGCTTATTCGTTGTAAGTATTTAAGTTAATTGGTGGATAGCCGCCTCACAGAGTAATACATGGGCGATAACTGTCTGTGCCAGGTCATTGGATTAGCCCGAGGTATGGCGCCAGGTCACGCGTTATGACAAGACACTTCTACTTGCGGTTCATTTTTGAATTTTTGGAACTGACCCAAAACGCTTCAAGAGTTTTACGCGCTGATGTTTTCGCTTCGTGCGTGATGATAGTGACTCCTACTTCAAAGTGTTCTCCGTTGTGTTCCTGCATCCTATGCGCGCCTAGTGGAGTGTTTGGTTTTAACTTAGATTTACCGGCTAGGTGTTCTTTTATGTGGACGCAGAACGGTCTACTCGTTTCGCCAACATATTCGTCCCCGCACGTTTTACAAGTGATCAGATAGACTGCACCCGAACTCATGCAATCACCGTCAATACCACTGGGGCAAAGTATGCGTTGCACATAGACGGTCATATAGGCGTCTGCGAACTAGCTGGCGTCTTAGAGTGTTCGATTGTATTTCTATCACTCTTACGGAATTCTCTAGAGCGGCCCTTATTAAGCAACGTTTTATAGCTGCACTTATTTCGTTTGAAATAGAGGGCAAGAGGAACGGAGCCTTGTTTTCGCTAGAATCATCGTTTTGGAGCATGGGAAAACGGGTAGACCGCTCTGCGCCCGCATAAAAGAACACCTAGTCGGTAAATCTAAGTTGAAACCAAACACTCCACTAGGCGCGCATAGGATACAGGAACACAACGGAGAATACTTTGGAGTAGGAGTCACTATCATCACGCACGAAGCGAAAACATCAGCGCGTAAAACTCTTGAAGCGTTTTGGGTCAGTTCCAAAAATTCAAAAATGAACCGCAAGTAGAAGTGTCTTGTCATAACGCGTGACCTGGCGCCATACCTCGGGCTAATCCAATGACCTGGCACAGACAGTTATCGCCCATGTCTTACTCTGTGAGGCGGCTATCCACCAATTAACTTAAATACTTACAACAAATAAACGGTAGGTGTTTAAATGAAGCTGTTTCTTACGCGAGTGCAAATCGATTTATCAAGTTTTATCTGCTAGGGTTATGAAAGTGTTTGGCTGGGTAGATCGCATCTCAATTTGACCCTTCCAGGCTCTGAGAAAGGCGAAACCGCCGAAACGCCAGCTATTGTATCCTAATAAATTCTATAATAACAGCCTCGTGTCTGCTTACTGAAGAAAAACATCGAATTATTTAGTTATTTGGTCGTGAACATACGCTAATTTCATCGTGCTCATGCAATTGATGTAGTTATTTCCAAAAAAAATTTAAATGGGCGTCACCTACTAATTGTACCTTTGAATTGCAGTATCTCATCGCTATCGTGATTTCGTGGGTATTCTGTGTACTGCTCACCGTTTTCGACTTGGTCGAGCCAGGAAGTCCGGCTCGTGTCGACATTCCTCGTAAAGTCAGTGCGATTCGAAATTCTGCTTGGATCGCCGTACCCTATCCTGGTTGGTAGCTTAGGTTTTCGCATTTGTATACCACTAGGATTTTCTGTCGCTCATACTTTCTTTGCCAAGTCATAGTGACTAACTACTTTTGTATGAACTATAATCACGTTTTGTCTGATTTACTCCATCCACAATGGATGTGGATCCATTGTATTTCGTTTCAATTTGATTCCAATCTCAAATACCAATCAATTCATTTAATCACTCACTTAATCGTTAGATTTTGAAGATAGAAAACGAACTTGGACCCTCGCTTCGTGCTGCGCTAGGTCTCATCCTCAGAAATAGTTAGAGCTACTTTCTAGGCAAATTCGGAATGCCGACATTTGATGTCAGTCTATTTCTGGCATTTCTTCTCTCATCAATGACTTCTGTCTTTGAGTCGGTTGGTGATTACCACGCAGCTGCTCGAGTGTCACAAGAAAGATCTCCACCCAGTCATGCTATCAATAGAGGAATATTAGCTGAGGGTGAGATTTAAAGAGATAACAGGATTTTTACTCCCATTTAATTTAGACGTGTTTCTTATTTTCAAAATCAACTTCCATGCACCTTCGGAATTAATGGTCAATTCGAAGCATTAATTGGAGCCGCAAAAAGCGTAGGGTTTGGAGATGCTGTGCATTACATGCATAGTTGCTGGTTTGACGTTAACCAAGTCTCTCATACCGCCGGGGTCACTAAATTAACGGCAGTCCTGTCTGGGAAAAATTCGCTACGGTTCACAATGAATGTTGATTGCTTATGTTGGAGGCTTGGGAACGATTTACCAGAGCCATGATTTTGGGGAAAATCACACTTGACCAGCTTCCAAAGGCATTCACGAAAAATGCGAAATTTTCAAGTATCGAAGAACTCAGACGCAAATTCAAAGATCTCCATGTGCGATGGATTCATTGCAATAAGCCTAATGAGAGAAGTACGGGATTAGCAGTGTGTAAAGATGGGTTATATAAATAAATAGGTAAAGTGATATGTTGTCTCATTGATAAACTGTAATCAAGGTGCAACGTGTGGTGTCTGAATCCACACCGTTCGATTCGATATGGCTTTTGAGACTAGACCCTTACAAAATTTAACGACACTGTGGACACACGTCCGGAATCATTTCGACTCTGAAGAATGATGTGTTGCCTGAACTTAAGTTAAATTGAGGCGCAAGAATGAAATAGAGACTGCCCGTTTCATTCATTTCCCTACTTCATAAAATTTTTATTGCACTACCCTGAATTATAGAATTGTTAGTATGAGTACCGGGAAAGAGAAAGAAATAAACGAATAACCTAATTTCTATGAAATGCTATGTGGATAGCACAGTATCTTATCTGCTCAAGATTCCAGAATTTTCTCAACTAAATGGATTAGTTGATATTTCAGGAATGGGCACATTCTTATCAGGATTACTTGGTCCAGCAGTGGGCATGACGACGCACACAGAGAACATCGGCGTCATTGGCGTGACTCGTGTCGCCTCCAGATGGACGATGGTTGTCGCTGGATTGCTACTTATTGTACTCGGTGTCTCCACTAAGGTATGGACTAGCATGTGTATATCCACAATGATTAAATGAATCTGGTTACAACCATTCATTGAAAAGTGTGTGTCCGCAGCTCATTTTTCTTCATCCATGAATAGCCCTGGTCTAAAATCAAGCCTTCACAAATACCCTGGAATTTTCTCTTTTCACAAAAACTTTTTAATAACAGACTCTTCTTTGTGCTTAGAATACGTTTAAAACTGCCGAATTCCCAAAAACAAGTCCTAACTACTTCTGTTAGTGATACTAGAGTTCTAGTAGAAACAGTGCCTTGTTCTTTCTCATCCTGTATTTTCTGCGGATATTCTACAAATCCGCGCGAGGATCGGTTCTCTTGAAAGGCATTGTCCATTCTATACATCTGTACTTGCGTGTATAACATCTGTACTACCTCATGAAAAAGCACTTACAGCATCCTATTTACTGAAAATTACAAAATGACTTTTCTGCATTGCTGTTTTAGATTGGTGCTGTATTGTCTACTATACCTGATCCTTTGGTTGGTGGTATTTTGGGCTCATCAATGGCTATGGTTGTGGGTGTGGCTGTCTCCAATCTACAGACAGTAAGTTCAAATCCTCAAAGAGGAAGATGCGTTCATGATTAAATTTAGAGATTTCAATTCGATTATAACGACTGTATTTCAGGTGGACATGAGCATATCGAGAAATATGGGTATTCTTGGTTTTTCCATGCTATTCGGTATGATTGTTCCTGAATACTTCAGGCGGTACCCAGTAGATACTGGTAAATTTTCATGCACTTAACAAATGCTATTCTCCATCATAACATTTTTTAAGCACACCTTTCCTTCCTATACTTTTGAAACTCTGAATTTTTTTTCTGAACGGTCCGTCATCACTAGCTGTGCGGGCCCCAGCATAATCACCATTTCCGGAGATTTGCTGGTTAAGCTATTTTTCCTGGAATCCCGAGGACAGCCTGGTCAAAGTCTGCTCCAGGTCTTCACCACAGGCAGTCACAGCCTTTGTGGATCAGAGGGAGATTTACTGCCATGCTACTTTGATACCAGGTTGGTGGTGGATCCTGGTATTACTCTTAGCTAGGCTTCCTGATGGAAATGCCGGACTCCTTCTCAGCTTGAAAGACCCTGCCGTAGGACGAATCCCTCTGCTGTCCATCGCAGTCCGACACCCAGGAACACCTCCCAGCCACGTTGAGGCGGTAAACTGTTGGGAGGATACGATGAAATAGTAGCTTGTATTTGAATTACTGCTCTACATGTAAATAACTCAATAATAGAAAAATATGAACTCAAATATAAAAGATTCACTTTGAGAAGGATAAGCGATGAGGCTTAAATTCCTAATGAATGCGCCGTACATTTGACTCCATTCGTAACATCACAGAGGTGAGCAAGTGCATATCTGCCGTTAACAATGCCTTTAGTGGCCTACCGATGTGCCAAACTAGTAAAGGACACGGAATTTGGCTAGCCAGCGGCACATGCTCGAACGAAAGAGCGTGTATATGGTACGACACCTCTAACCACTGCGCTACACGCCCCCTTAGTTTATGGATTCGGATCCTTGCGTAAGAAATAGCATGAAATTCCTTAGATATCCGTAAGCAAACTTAAACTTTCAGAAACCGGTGAACTACCAATTATCGCTTGAAATAGTAAGAAAAAAAGACGAATGGAATGTTCTCCTCGAGTCGGCTGGACCCATTGAGTAGCTCTGGAACGAGAAGGAAACTCACAGAGACACTTTACATTTTTGGTGCTCACTCGAAGTGTTCGATTGCATTGATGTATTTTTAAGTGGTCATTCTAACCTTAGGGCGCGTGTGGCGCAGTGGTCGGAGGCGCCCTGTAACACACACGTGGAATCGATCCGCGCGCCTATGGCCCACCAAGCTCTCCATCCCTCCGGGGTCGGCAAATTAGTACCAGACTTGTCTGGGAGGAGAGCAGCACTAGCTGGATACATCGGTAGGCCATCACGAGTCACTGTAAAGGCCACATATGCATTCAATCACCTCAAAGCGATCCTTAATGAAGTCGAATGCATGGCGCATCCCTCAAGACTGATTAGCCGAAAGCTTTATCTTTTTTATGCTAACTTCACATCGGATGACTGATTCAGTAATGCAATAGGTGTTTTTTTGGTTAAAACGGTTACCTGTTAGAATGAAACACTAAAGAATAAATATTGAATCAGAAAGACATTTTCAAATAATGAGCTGTTTAGGTGTCCATGTCTTCGATGACGTCATCAATGTACTCCTTAAATTGCAAATGTTTGTTGGGGCGATGTGTGCATGTTTTTTGGATAACACTGTTGGCGGTATGTGATTTAAACCTTATTTATATATGAGCGAAAGTAATGTAGTCGTATTAATAGAAGCTATCAGGTGATTACAAAGATATTCTGATATTTTACGGCGAAACTTCCAAAGTCCTTAATCACTATCGCACGAAGAAGTTTAGCGTCAACCCGCCAAGAATGTAAGAATGTGACATGCGGGAAGTGTGAGCGCTGGTAACGTCAAAAAACACTTGTTTATCTACTAGTGATAAGAGTGGAAACTTCGTAGTATTTCCTTATCAATCAGATGTTGAGATAACAAAAATGTCTTAAAGACGCTTCTCTTTAATGATGCCGAGATATTTGCAAAACTCTGGACCGCAGGTGTGTGCGGTGGGGAACGAACGCGCTATTATCCTTTCCGGGGAATAACGCGTTCACCACCACACAATGGGTGCCATTCGTTTCGCCTGTCTCTCAGCTAGTTCTATCGATCTTTTGCTATCACCAATCACCCGTTAGCAGGATTGATCTGGAAGTCCAAATCGGCAACGAACCCAGTTAAACTGTGGCTGCAGTTATAATCACAATTTTAACTTATTATTTACTGCCTACTCTTTTTAATGGGTGATTTTGAAATTTTGCTGATGGAAAAGATCGATAGAACTAGCTGAGAAACAGACGAAACGAAAGACCCGCGTGGTGTGGTGGTGAACGCGTTACTCCCCAGAAATGACAATAGCGCGTTCGTTCCCCATCGTAGACACCTGCTGTCCGGAGTTTTGCAAATATCTCAGGATTATAGTAAAGTTGGCTTTTTGAAAACTTAAAAAATGCTATGTTTCGCAATATCCCCTGCCATTAAAAAAGAGTAGGCAGTAAATGAAACGATTAAGATTGTGATTATAACTAAAGCCTCAGCTTAACTGGGTTCGTTGCCGATTTGGGCTCTCTAGATCAATCCCGCTGACGGGTGATTGCTGACGGCAAAAGATCGATAGAACTAGCTGAAAGACAGGCGAAACGAATGGCACGCATTGGGTGGTGGTGAACGCGTTAGCCCCCGGAAAGGGTAATAGCGTGTTCGTTCCCCACCGCAGACACCTGCGGTACGGCGTTTTGCATCAGCATCATCAAAGTTATATTTCGCAATATATACCCTGCCGTTAAAAAGACTAGGCAGTAAATAATAAGTTAAAATGATGCTTCTCTTTATTAACAATCATGTGAAAAGGAATTCAAAAGTCAACATCGGAAGGGAATGGCTAAAAGCGGCAAACACGGCAGATTCAAAACCATTAGTTAAATCACAACCTCAAATTGAATTACCAGTATGTTCAATCATACAATTACTTGTCATAACTTACAAACTAGTATCCAAGCTGGTAATTCTGGGCCTACCGATTTATCATTAGTAAGGGATAGACCCATTATTAGCAGTGTAGACGAACCAACGGATAGAATATCATGGTTTCCAACCTAATACTTATCCAGTTATTGAAACATATTCCAACTCATCTCACGAACATCCAGATGTTCTTGGATCGTCTGCGTGTCTTAACAGCGCATATGTGATGGCGACCCTCAACTTTTATACAAACATGTCGAATGACTCCGATATGCAAGCTTTCCTCGAACTCCTTATAGAACACGAGGAAGCAATAAGCATGTATGGCTTTCAGATACAGCAGCTGATGGCCCTCCTAAAGGAGTGTTTAAAGTGCGCAATCTTCGGATGGTCCAGAAAATATTACGGACAATTTGGAGGATTGGCAATAAGGCAGCGGCTGGCACTAAGCCTTACCGTTGCCTTTATATCTAAGGTGGAAGCACCAGTATCAATCTCCAGCCATTACTATTCTACTGTAAATGTATAGATGGTTGTTTTGTCCTTCGTTTTACCTATCTGAAAACGGTAACATTACAAAATGATACCGAAGCCAAGTACTGAGAACACAGTGGTTCATTACCTCTTCTCTCATCCCTTGTAGACTAAAAGGGAGCTTGTGGGAAATGTGCTTTCAACATCCACGAATGTGTGTACAAGAAGAGAGCAGAAGGAAAGAATCTATGAGAGGGCGCGGCAAATAGTACGAAATTGTAGCTCCTCGGGATAGCTGTAGAAGAAAAACCATGCTCTAAAACAATACATCTAGCAAGAATAAGGACCCATTTATACTGTCCTTAATTTCAAACGAATTAAGTGCAGCTATAAAATGTTGCTTAAGAAGACCCACTCTAGAGAATTCGATGGCAGTGACTGAAATACCACCAAACACCCTCAAACAGCAACTAGTTCGCAACTGCCTTTATAAATCGTCTATGCACAAGACAAAATTGCATAATATGCCCTAAAAGCTAGAGACAGTGATTGCATGAGTTCGGGTACAGCTTATCTAATCTCTTGCAAAACGTGTGGGGACGAATACATTGGCGAAATGGGTAGAGCACTCTGCGTCCGTATAAAAAAACATCTATTCGGTAAACTTAAAGCTAAACAAAGCACCCCACTAGGCGCGCGTAACACATGGAGACATAATATAAATTTTTAAGTGGAAGTTACCATCCTCCCACAAAAATCAAAAACTTCACCGCGCAAAACTGTCGAAGCATTCTGGATGAATTCTAAGGATCCAACATTGAACCGCAGTGAGAAGAAATGCCTCGTGGCCACACGTGATCACACATGACCTCACACTACATTCAGGAATTACACTGCAATGTGACAGAGACACATTACCCATCCATACGATCTCTCTGAATTCAAACTCACCGACGAAGTTATATCTGAACCACAGAAATACTCATGCAATCCCAAGAATGCCTGAGCATATAACCGCCTTGATTCAGTTCACGATAGACACTGGAAGTGAACTCACTTGAACTAGTAGGAAAGCATTTTCGGTATTTGATTGATGGACAGTAGAATGCTGGGATGTCAAACATAGTCAATCATTTCTTCAGTCTTGGAAGGTACAAGTGCAGTCTTCGTCCACTTACTTTTCACTAGCCATTGGCAAGGAGGAGAAAGAAGGAAGGAAGAAGGAAGACTTCAACGATTCGTTGACAGTCGACGTCAGACATCATGGCATACCTATCTCGACAATTACTAAGGAAATCATTTGTCCTGTGTGCGAGGAATTTAAACCCACTACCAATCCACAAGTAGCACTATCACTATATTGATATTACATTCGTCTACTAGTCCTTTTTTGAACACAGAACGGATTTTATGGCGACTACGTTAACTCAAGCACTATTCGTGCTTTATTATTAATTTTGGAAACCCAACACGTTCCTTACTGATCAGATCGGGCCATCAGAGCGTAAGGAACGGGTTCAAGGCTACCTCAGTTTATCCGCCGCCTATGATGCACCATATAACGACTCTTGCGCGAATATAAAGTATGAACAACGCAGTCAGTTTAAAGCATTACACAGTTGCCTATGACCTTCACACATGTTAGAGCAGCTGAAACCATGTAAATAGGACCATTTTAGTGCGAAATTCATCACAGAAAATCAATAACTCCAACGAGAAACCATTTGGGAAACTTTTAGGAGCCACCCGAGAGCAGCGAGGTCTCCGCCCTCGCGGTATTATTCATGAAATCTCGATCGATGGTGACACTTACACCTACTCACCAATTATTATGAAGTTCTTAAACAAGGTAACACTTATTAACGTGATTATTTATATGTACCCATTATCAAAAGCATGGAGCGTCAAAGGGCGCTTGTGGCGCAGTGGTCGGAGGCGACCTGCAACACACGTGCGATCGATCCCCGCGCCTTGGTACCAGACTTGTATGGGAGGATTACAGCACTAGCTTGGTACATCGGTAGGCCACCGCAAGTCACTGTAGGCGAGGTACGCATTTAATCACCTCCAAACGATGCTTAATGAAGTGGAACGCGTGGCGCATCCTACAGGGACTGATCAAAGCCGACAGCTTCACCCTTTTATCCATTGTCAGATGTCTGTAATAAATTTACAAAATAAATCTAAAATGGCGGCTAGGGTTCATTCATGCCATGAACTGTTGCTTTTTTTAAAACTTGACCAACCGGGACTAAATTGAACTTTCCTTCAGGTTCCGTTCATAAACTACTTTCCTTGTGTTCCGAAAGAGAAGAAAGCAACCAATAAAGTAGCAGAGTACTTGTCAGATAATCACAAAGCGAGTGAAGTTCGATTGTAACTGGAGGGATTGGAGCTGCGCAGGTACCGGCATAGGCCTACGGCTATGTAGAGAACCGGCGCCAAACGCTTTTTTTCCATTTTGATGCAGAGACATTTCTCTTCAACCACATTATTGAATGCTGCACATTCAATTACTATGATGTATCAATAAATACTACTCTACGTTGGCTAAAGGCTAAATTAATGTTGTTGAAAGTACTCTCTCATCGAAACAAAGGATCTGTTCACGAAAGATATGAATTATGTGGAATATATAGCAAAAGTTAGCGTTCAACGTATCCAAAACCTCTTTCCCTACCATAATCTACAGATTAACTTTGTTCATCCTACTTGAAAACCTGAAAAGGATGCGCGTAGCGCAGTGGGAGGTGTCCTGCAATACAGATGGGGTCAATTCCAGCGTCCGTGCCCCATCAAGCTTTCCGTCTCTCCGAGATCGGCAAATTGGTAGCAGACTTGTTTGGGACGATAGCAACACTGACTTGATACATCGGTAAGCCACCGCGAGTCATTGTAAAGACCAGATATGAATTCAGTTACATCCAACGATGCTTAATGAAGTCGAAAGTATGGATATGCCAAGGATTGACCAACACCGAGAGCTTTATCCTTTACTCTCTATTTGAAAACACAAGAACCAAAAACTAAAGAAGCGCATTCATATCGCGTTTTCCAGAAAGTTGTCCAGCGAATTCAAAACATTGGAAAGGCATAGCACCTTCAGCGGAAATTTCGAACCGATACTGTAGTCGCCGTTTCTCGTAATTTTTCACCATATCATCAGTTTTGGATCAAAAACATCACTTCTGAAGGTTTCATTGCGTTCAATAAAAATCTAAACATTTAAAATACGCATGAACAACGACAATACAATAATGACGCATATAGAATTCACAGAAACTGTTTTGAGGACGAAGTGGGTGTCTATTCAAAAAATCTAGCGAAGAACGCTTTCAATAAGCACCTGGAGGGCATCTTTGTGCTTAAAACCGAAAGATGACGAGGAAATTAGTACCCATAAATTGGTTTTCTAAACCTTCTAAAGTAGTCATCTAGTATTTTAAAGAAATGGAATGCTAGTCGACTAGTAATTAAAAACAACTTCCATTTGTAAAGTATTGAAGATCAATGATGTAAGTCTTTCAATGCATACATGTCGATGCTTTCAAGAAGGACAGTGATACGGCGAGAAAATGCTTGAAAAAGAACAGGTAGGACGAGTTGAAACAAAAAAAAAGGAAGAAAATGAACAGTTAGTGCTTTGAAACCATTTCTGTACAATTTTCAAATAGACGACTGAACAAGAAGTCATGGTTACAAATTCAAACATACTTCGACGCGCACAAGTATCTTAAAATTCACTTATTGATTTCCTTCCCTGAATAATCAAAACATATCAAAGGACTGATCATGACTTTTAAATGCAAAAGGCATCATAATATTTTCAGTTTTTGAAAACACACATAACATTGCAGAAAACAGTAAGTAACGATGTGATAAACTGCTTCAGAATCTCATTATATGAATGATTTGCTGAACCCGTAGGACAGATAAATGCGTGTGGGACATGGCTGCATGTGAAAGTGGTGGTGGTACAAATGGCTCAGACGGGACATATTCGTATTGTGTTAACTTGGTGTTGACATAACTTGTCGGGGCCAACCGATTTTAGCATCATGTCGTTTATAGGCGAACAAATGCGGCTTGCCGGTACCACGTAGACTATCACGAATCGCATCAGGGCATTCATGAGGTAAAAGGCAAGACTCGAAACCGTTAACTATCAAATACCTGAAAGACTGGAAAAACTGAAAAACTTGGAATAACAGCAGCAAGTAAATTAGCGTCTAGTTTTATGGCTTTAATTCCAGGTAATTTTGCATATGACGGTATTTTCCGTACAGCTTTTGTCCGTTTACCAGTGCAAAAATCTCTTAAACCCCATTTAAGAATGAAACAGGAAGAAAAACGTTACGAAAGTGTTACGAGATCAGCATTATTTTTCTCATAGATTTTACTAAAACACAGCTGTATTCCTTTGAGACCTTAGAAATCAAAGGAGGACATCTTCGGACACAAAGTAACAAAACATTTGAAGTGTAATAAGACCATCGTTACCAATTCTTAATAATTATTCCCTGAATTAAAAAAGATTAAATATGACTCCTAAATTTCGCTCCACGACTACGAAAGCACCAATTTCGATAAATTAGAACTAACGGAATAGAATAAATGCATTTAGAAATTGTCCTCGAGACTAGGAAAGACATTCGCTTACAATCCATGATCTTCTGGATTTGTTATGCCCTGCTGGTGAGCAATCACGCGACACAGTTTTCCTGTTGTCATTTGTGGAACACCGGGAAAGGTCGCGTACCTAAACGAATTAGGATTTCAATTACATTAGTAGTTAAATCAGATCTTCCACACTCTTCGTAACTACCAGTCACCGGTAACTAAAAACAGATGAGCAAGGTCCACAACGGATGTTCAGCAAGAGATGCTACTTTTCAAATCACAAGAACATCCTCGAATTTTTTAATTAGTGAAACAATATTCACGCTATTAACCTTTTTTTTCGTTGCAAAAAAGTAGAATAATTGAAGGGTCTTCCAAATCTTCATACAAAAACGTCGTTTCTACATGGATTAAGTTTCAAGAAAGCAGAAATTAAAAACTTGGATAATTTATCATTCATAGGACTAACCTTATGCAACCAGCTACTTCATCAGGTATCGCCACTCTTACAAAGGCATCCGAAGTTGACGGCGTCGATGAGCACAACTGACGAGACAAATCCTAAAATGTCCATATCAGAGCTTGGATCTGGATGTCTACAATGAAACCGTGTGCAGTTCGATAATTACATATAAAAGTTAGGTATTTAAAAATGCATACAAGAACGCAAAAAAAAATGCACAGACTATGGCCCTCATCTAGGCAAGTACTAGGTGAGTAGGTAAAAACTTGATCGCAGACTCTGTTCCTAATGACCTATCAGATTATTTATCACCAATGAAGTTCTCGTAAAATATCGAAGATAATTAATATAATGGTGAGATATTTGCAAAACTCCGGACCACATGTGTCTGCGGTGAGGAACGAACGCGCTATTGTCCTTTCCGGAAAGTAACGCGTTCACCACCACACCATGCGGCTCCTTCGTTTTGCCTGTCTTTCACCTAGTTTTATCGATCTTTTGCCATCAGCAATCACCCATCAACGAGATTGATCTGGGGAGCCCAAATCGGCATTGAACCCAGTTAAGCTGAAGCGGCAGTTATAATAACAATCTTAACCTCTTTTATTTACTGCCTATTCTTTTTAAAGAAAACTAGTTGAGACACAAGAGAAACGAAGGACCCGCATGGTGCGGTGGTTAGCGCGTTACTCCCGAAAAGGACAATAGAGCGCGTTCATTCCCCACCGCAGACACCTGCGGTCCGGAGTTTTGCAAATATCTCAGCATTGTAGTACTTATATTTCGCAAAATACCCTGCCGTTAAAAAGAATAGGCATAAATAAAAAAGGTTAAGATCGAAGGCAATCTTAGTCACCCACCATACTAGACACCATATCTGCATCTTTTTCGGCAAGTTTTTTGATAGCATCAATACTCTTCAACACGTGAACTGCTGAGAACAGAGCTGTTAAATAATAAGCAGCATCGCCCTAAAATACACAAACGCTTTAGAAAAGAACAAACGCATTGAAACAAAGAAAAAACTGCGACATACCTTAGTGATCATTTGTTGAGGCAACAATTCCCACATATACCAGGCTTCTACTTCACAGCCGACTGTTGATGACCGCGCAATGATGTACACTAACCATCGGACTAGATCTGGAACATTAAGGCCAGAAGTTATTTTGTGAAAAGAAGAAAAAGCTATACAAAAAAAAAACACATTTCTAGAGTTTAGGAAATGAATGTAAATACCTGTCAAGTGAATGCACTAAAACCAACAATGTAAATATCAAACGTCGCTCTTAATTCTGCTTCTACAATTAAATGCTGATGTTACCGGATGAATAAGTCGATGTTCCAACAGTTGCAGAGTCGTCCATAATCAAACAAAAGATCATTATACAATGGGAAGGCGAATTACTTAAAACTTATGAACCAGTTGCGTCTAATTGGCCTCTTATTGCACAATGTTGCATCACCAATGTAAAAACCTAGTGCAGAAAACCAACCGTCACCAGCGATCGTCTTCTGAATCTCTTGTTTTTCGACACACTTGGACTGTATTGATAAAACGATACTGATAGCTCTAAAATGCTCACAGAATTAGTGATAAAATGCAAGGTATTAGTGCAACCTACTTAAAAAAAAACAAACACAAAGGAATAAATTATTTCTAGGCCGAAAACAACCTCCTCAATAAGATTAACTAAAGGTACCTAAGAAGGTTCTCGAGCTTCTTCAATGGCGAATAGTGGTGTTGCATTTTTCTCAGACAGTTTTTTATCTGCTCCATCACCGATGCCGATGGTGCGACCAACTGAAAAAGATTTAATCAAGGCGAACACAATAATGCAGTAGATATCGGGTTCATAGCCAAAAAATGAAGCACTTTGAAAATTTAAAGCAATTTATAAGTGAGCTAGTTGGACGTATTGCAGAAAATTCTACATTTTTTTACCGCCTTGGCAGTACAGAACTGTGCATCTTTGCAGACACCAAGAACGTGAAAAAACCTCAAACTCTAGCGTTCGTATACTCTGAGTGTTACGGCAAGCGCGCCGTTGCCGACACTGAATGTCAAACCTCATTGCGCCCGCGACATAAGCATTGAAATTTTCGGAGGACAAGACCGACTCCAATTTGCCCTCCGGCAGCAACTTAAGAAGTTTTCGAGCTCAGCTATATTCAGATTGAAGTCGCCTGTCTACCACCAGGGAATGCCTATATCGGCTCAACTATTACACATTTATGGTTCGACTGACTCAACATCAGTTAATGCAAGTGGACCACATTGCAATTATTTTGGTCTGCCCGTTGGTACTGTTGCAGCCACAAAGGAAAGAGTTTCTGAAATAGCCCGCGGATAGAGGTTATACCTGAGTGGTCCACCACATGGAGATATGTTGCTCCCTTTGATTAAGAGAACAGTGAACAACACTATCCAGATCAAACCCATACACCCGTAAGGTTTCTCTTCTAGGCTTCTAACGTTTCGCATATAACTCTGCTGTTGAACGCTAAACCACATGGATGAGCTTTTTGGTGGGTCCCCAGATGAATACTGTTACAACAAAGAAGAGGTTGTGAAGAACTCAAGTAATCACTAAAACCTTCTCCTTGCAACAAACGCTTACTCAGCCCTACCAACCTGAAACAAGAGCTACAACAATTTTTCGACTAACAGTTATAGCAATTCCGACAAAAAGTACCTAATACCTGCCTAAATAGTTAGATCAAGTTATCGACTAATACGTTGATTAAATCACATGTTTGAACTACAATTGAAATAAACCTGAACAATCAAAAAGACCCCGAATATGTTATAATAATTCCTTAGAAAGTTCCTTAATAGAAGCACCCCGCATCTACAACAAAACTATATACTATGGTTCCCACTGCCTTTAAAAAGTCACTCTTACTGTTTTAACACTTTTGCCTACCCTTATAGATATGTGAAGTGATGAACTACTCAACATACTTGGTCAGCATTAGAGAATCCCAGGTCAGCAAGACTTAAGTTTCGTACATAAGCGATATTCGCGGATAAAGCCTGCAGACCACCAGCTCTCGAGTTTTCCTTCACCATTACGTGATAGAGATGAGGTTTAACTCGTCCTGAAGGAAAAAAATTCCGAAATATTATGGAATTACTCAAAAATGGAAACAAAATAGTGTATAGTTTCCTGTTTACTACGTAATACTTTTTCATGGCAACGTATTATGTGAAATAAAACTGCAATCATGCCGAGATATGAGCAAAATTTGGGACTCCAGGCCATCTGGCCATCTTCGGACCCTGCATAACCCTTTCCAGGGGATTACGTGTTATCCACTCCACCAACCGAGGTTCTTACTTTGCCTTTCTCTCATCCAATTTTTTACCATAACAGTTCACCGTTAGCGGAATCGAAGCTGGCCTGGGGCCTGAGTTTTGTAAACATCTCAGCATCATTGTGCTTGTATTTCAAAAATAAGAACGTTCGCGTGCCGTTTTCCATCAAACCACGATGAAAATTAAACTATAACAAAGACGAAATTATGAAACTCATCACGAACTAATAAGTAAAACAATTACAAACACAATTACAAACTTACTAAGTAGTAATTTATGCAGTACAGATTCCAAAATAGCATCAATATTGAGAATCTGATTCGCATTCAAATGAGCACTCTCTTGGTCGATAAGGGCATGAAGATCACCTTAAAAATACGAAGTTGCGATCAGATAAACAGCATGTATTCGGAGTTCTGGAACAACGAATTATACACTGAAGAAGTGCCTGATATATTTACACACTTCGACCTTCAGGAATCTGCGAATAATAAATGCAAGATTTAAAAAAAACATTAAAAGAGTACATCACCATATCCATACACCAACCTTCACCGTGCTTGACCAGATAGTTTTTAATTCCGTTTATGAATTGTCGAACATTTCGTACAACCACATTCGGATCAGCTTCTTCACTTTGCACAGTACATTCGATGAATCGCTTCAATGTAGCACCAAACACCGTACTTTGATCTTCAGCAAGCCTTAATTCGATAATGTACTTTAGCTTAAACAACGAACAATATATAAAACTTTGTAAAAGGTATTAATTGACACCGGCATTGTTTATTATTTAAAAGTTAATTATACAGAGAAACTTGACAGAGAACACTTATTTCCGTCCACTGTCACAAGCAGTTTATGATATCACTTATGTAAAACTGACTTTAACACCGAAGAAATCTACGTAATCAATTTAACACGGACTGAAGTTCTTGTTATTTTCAACTCGAATGTTTTTTGGAGTCAGCTCCCATTTACGTATGCCTATGTACTGCACTATTCCAAAGTATGAAATTCGCTTCAGCGTCTTTTCTACCATTGTGTGGCCTTGTTTACTTTAGCGTGTCAAATGAAAGATTTAAAAAAACAAATGAGGGCTACATTCTCTGAGTAGTGGAAAAACGACAATGGAAATAAAAAATAAAAATTAATGGGATACAGATGATACCAGGTGCCAAAGACAATCCACTAACCTCTCCACATAGCTTTGCAGAGCGAGACTAGATTCATGTTGTGTTGTTTTCCTTCCAGAATTTAGATTCGGTGAGAAGGTTGCCAATGATAGTGGCAAGTCGTCTAACGAACCAATCTGTTGTGAGAATCCGGAATTTGCGCGGGGAAGCTAGAACAATAGGGATAAAGAAAAGATAAAGAAATAAAAACAGGGACGAAATGGATAAGAGATGAAAGAACATCACACAAAATAAAAAATATAGGAAACTGAAGGAAGGAAACACCATGCAATCTAATCTAATCTAAAAAAAACAATGTCCAGCAAGAGACAATTAATACGAAGGAATGAAAGATGGTATAATAGAGGCAGAAACATAGATGACAGTAGACGATAAAAGAAAATATATGGAAAAGGTAAGAAGATTAAAATCCTTACTGAGCTCACAGAATTCGGTGGCGTTTGTGGACGTCGATCGCAACGTCGCAGTGTGCTGGACAACGACTCACCCAAAGAGCTGTCGATTGTACCATAGTTGCTATAAGATTAATTCCGTAAATATTCATAACAATCCAGTACAAAACTATTAGTTGCGTTATTCTAACAAATAAAATGTTTCAAAACGGCGTTAGCTCTTACCGAAACATCTTTACCGAGGTACTTTGTACAGCTTGAAATACTCAAAAAATAATGTTAATGATTGAAAATCGGAAACATCAGCAGAAAAAAAACATGGATTTTCAAAGGTTCCACTATATTGATGGGAGACTGTTTGTAGAGAGAAAACAAGAAACATATGAAAAGTTTTAGCAATTAATCGAAAACATGACGTCATTCATGGGACATACCTAACTTCATCATTCTCCCATGCCTTGCAAGTAACTCTGTCCGATGGTAATTTCCTTCGGGCGGACGCCGTCATCGAAGACCACAGCTCATCATCCAACTCGTCTTCGGATTCATGCATTCTCGTTGATCCTCCAGCAGTACGATCTGAGTCTGAGTCTTCTTCATGAATCGTTTCCGCTAATTCTGAATGTGAAATCCTGACAATGCACTCATACAGTAATTAGGAATCGTCGTCATCTTATCTGCCGAATTTACACGCTTTTTAGAATTTTGCGCCACCTAAGAATGTCATGAAATTACACCAGTTATTACTGTAACGTTTCCACCAATGGGTCTGCTCAGTATAAACCACACAGTATCTTGTTTGAAAACGACAACGATACCGGACAAGCTAAATAACAAGCCAATGAGATGCCCTTGATAAAAAAGCATAGAAGAACTATGAACACATACTCTCGAAGGAATTTCCTCTTCTTGTTTAAGTTTTTGATATCATTTTCTCTCAAATGTTTGATTTACAACCATTTTTTCGGCAAAGCCTTTCAGATTCTTCTATCTTATTTTCTTTCACTCAAAGTCCGAGTACTGCGACGTGCTAACCACTTTTGGTTCATTGTATCGCATGGGAAGAAAATTCGATACTAACGTCTTGCTTCAGAGGATAGACTCTCATCGCCGTGATTAGCCAAATCGAGTAGATTCTCCCACACATTCGAGTCCCAAGGCTCGTTGAAAACTGTGCCGGCGATGCTGACATCATCGTCATCACGTTTCACTTCTAAACGACTAATCGATCGAATATGATTCGTCAGTTGCCAATAAGATCGTACTTTGCATAATCAGCTCTCAGGAAAACAAGTTACCACTCGTCTACTTTAGCCCGAAGGTATAAGGTGGCAACTTTTAAAAATTAGACAGCAAACTAGAAGTTTACTTTGCATTATATTTATAGTTCCTATGGATTACAATATAAAAAATGAGAAATATCTTTTTCTACAACCACTCAAGATAAAAAAGTACAAGTTCTGCCAGCCAGTAAAAAAAAGCTTAGTATTCCCACCCAGTTTCGGGGCGTCGACGGTGGTGAATTCACTCAGCTGGGCGTATTCGGAATTCTTGCCGACTCCGTCGATCGTCATAGTTGACGGCAAAACACGAGACTGAAGTGTTGGTCGGACCTTTAAACAAAAATATCAGTAGCGAACATATTACTTACTAATTCATTTTCTTGTAGTTATTCGGATATTTGCAATGCTTAAGTTCCAAGAAAAAAGAAGAACATGTCATTTTCTACTGCTAAGGAGATGTTAATGGCGACACGACAACAACGATAAGTGTTCAACAATCACAACGGTTTAAATCAGGAATTCAAAGCAGCAGGATATAAGCTAACAAGAGCATCGCAGAATTCATACGTGGTGCAGCTTAATATGTCATTATGGCAATGCCACTGTTTCCGAACCAGTGTGTACCTCTCTCTATCGCTGCGTAATTACCTCTCCCTCAATAATAATTATGAGCACATAAACCTGAGCCCCGTTCGACGAACGAGCTGATGAATGGAAAATAAATGTAGAATAATGTTTAGATTCTATAGTTCTCTTTCGACTTCATAAACACCTAAATCGGATTTGGATTTCCTCTTTTCCCTGTTGGAAACTGAATTTCATTAGTAGGGAATCCATAAATAACTCGTTGGTTTGTTCCTTATCTCTACACGTTTAGCTAAGAAGAATAAAATTAGTTGAAATGGTTGAAATCTCCTGGCGAAAACAACGCTTATCTAATGCTCTGAAAGAGGTTATGTGTTAAAACATACAAACAGCATTACTTCAGACCCTTGCAGTGATCATATATTCATCAAAACTCAAGTCTGGTGCAATTTATAATACAAAAACAAAAACCACACTGGTGGCTGTTTTCCAGAATAAGCACGATCTAAGAAAAGAAAAACATTCTACATATTACTGATCAGTGAGGTACCACTAACAAAGTGCTAAACCAACAATTGAGAATAAAAATTGACAAATTTCACCTACATTGAAAAGAGCTTACCTTAGCAATCTTCTGCTTGCTTTTCAGTTCTGAATTAATGGCCGACCAGTTCGATCCTGATTTGTTCGGGAAGACAGAGTGGCCCTTATTTGCGGACGCTTTCACTAACTCTTCCACTGGTTTGTCGCAGATCCCCAATGAATTCTGATTTGTCCGACGCCAAATCAGCTCGCTCTCGCGTCCGCTACGAACGCGATCGCTGTTGAACCTGGATTAAAAGCGTTGAGTTTTGATTTGATTTAAAAACAAGAACAAATAAGAGTTTCAGATCCAGTGGGTTACAGCTCTCAAACATCTGAAATTGTGAAGGGAAACAAAACCTGTGAATCGAGAAAAAGCAGACAGCACTTCATCTTTTGAAAAAAAAACTGAACGAATGAAACCGTTAACAGTGCTATTAAGTCCTCAGTAATCAATAATATGTTAATGTGCACAAAGAATAGCAGGAAAAATCACTTCAACCCACTTTTTTCTTCTTAAAATAAATCTATTTTGTTAGATTACTCATTAGGCGTCGGATTCACACTCTACAAGAATTCCAAAGTTACCAAAATAGACCAGAGAAAATGTAAAAGCAACCATTTAAAACCAGCAAACTGAATAAGATTGTTGAGGGCGAGGAGAAACGTTTACGAAAGATCCAGTACAGAATCCCTCTAGGTGCGCACAGGATACAACGACTTAAGGAAAAGATTTCGAAGTAAGCATTATTATCGTTGCAAAGGAATCCAATTCATCAGCGCGTAAAACTCTATAGTCGTTTTGGATAAATTCCAAAATCCCAAAAAATAATCACAAGGAGGAGAGCCATGTGATTACAAGTGACTTTGCGCCATACCACAGTCTAATTTCTTGACCTGAGGCAGGTAGATTGCTGGCTCATGTAAGACTCTGTGCAACTGGTCTCCAGAAAATAAGTGGATTTCTCCAAGTTACAAACAACAAAACAGTAGGTGTCTAAAAGCTCTTCCTTATGCAAATGAAAACTTGTGTTTTAGATTTTCTGCTGAAGTTATGGATGTGTTTGGTTGAGTAGATTGAGTGTCAACTTGACCTTTCGATGTTTTCCTTCAATAAGCAGAGACGAGGTTGTTATTATAGAACTTATTGGGATACAACAGCTGACGTTTCCGTGGTTTCGTCTTCTTCAGAGCCGCTTACTTGTTGTAGGTATTCAAGTTAGTTGATGAATGGCAGCCGCACGATGATTGACAGTTATCGCCCATGTATTCCTCTTGACCTTTCCATGCTTTGAAGAAGGCGAAAACACCGAAACGTCTGCTATTTTGCATTAATAAATACCGTAATAACAACCTCGTCTTTGCTCATCAAGAAAAATGTACAAAAAAATGTCTACAAAAACGACAACATAAAAAAAAGAACTAGTGGGGATGAAATACACCGTTCACTGTCTTGTACAGCGGTCGATTATGTTACTTCGCGTTTTGTAGCTTTAGGCGAGCCCCTGAACTGCTACTTGTATTACTTATGAATTTAGTAACATTATCGAGAACATAGAGTAAACTTATGATGAAAAACTAAAATTCCTAGAACTTGCTTCTTTTAGAAAACAAACTTTACAGAAGGGTGAGGCGGATAGCACAGTGGCAGTGATGTCCATCATTACGAGCATGGTGCCAGTTCGATTTCACACCGGGCCAACTAAGACTGTATTCCCTCCGGGGTCGGGAAATTGGTACTGGACTTATCTGGGAAAAAAATCACTCTCTGCAATCCAAATGGGAACACTCCAGCTCGACTATCTCAGGACTCCAGAGAGAATTTCTCGACCGGCATTCTAAGGCATTCATGATGAAATGGAAATCCTCAAGCAGCAACCGAAGCCACACATAAAAGTTGGAAGATCTACATGGACAATGGGTGCGGAGAAAGGAATCGAATGTGAGAACTGCTGGAATCCGCATGATGGACGTAAAGACGGGTCAAATAAAATAAAAATAAATAAATAAAAGTTTGTAGGAAAGTTCTCTACGATGAACCTTTACTGAATCAGATTTAGACAAGCAAAAAAACCATTACTACCCAGCACTACTATCCTAGATCGAGAACAGCTGGGGCTGTGTAACATAGTGTCACCCGTTAGTCCGCCAAATAATCGCCTCGACACTGTGAAATCGTTGTGTCTCGAACGACCGACTGATTGACTCTACGCTACACAACGACATAGGACGAAACGAACTACCTTCACAATTAGGTTTCACTACTAAGAAACAACAGTAGGAACTAGAATTTAAAAAAAACGACTTGATAATATAGTACAGTAACCTATCAACAACCGTGTCCAACAATGAAGGAAGGATTTATAAAGATTAATCAATAACACCTGGAATCAAATCGTAATAGTGTCGCGACTAGTAGGGACAAAGTATGAGATGCCTACAAAATTACCTTAGAAATGAACACATTTTTGACCCTCTCTTTCTTTCTTTCTTTCTTTCTCTCTCTCTCTCTCCCTCACATTATCCCCATGTTTTAACTCTGTATCTCAATTACATACTGCACAAAGACGACTGTATATCAGAACACTGTTGGAGCCGTCAGTGAGTTTCCAGAAACCATGTAAATGGAACAGCCTTCTATTTCGAAATGACAAGAAAACGGAAAAACGGGTACCAAAAAATGAACAAGAACTTTTGAATGTAAGAGACAAAACAAACAAATACGGTCTAGAATAGTACTTAGATGTTCCTCCTAGTAATGGCATATGACAAAAAGACTAACCAAAAGAGAATCCAGCAAATCACATGCACCAAACTATAGATGTGCTCACTAATAACCGTAACACAAGGACATTCACATGTGCAAACAAACCCGGTCCTCAAGACTCACGATTAATGAGTTCCGAGTGTGTAAAAGAAAAGGTTTACCACTTTTTTTGCACTCTGTAGTAGTAAGAACTTCACAAAACTACACAACTACAACGAAAGGACTGCATAAAACAGCGAAAATAACGGTGACGACATACTGCTTTTGTTAGTAATTACTATTTCTGGGGCAAACTTTGGCTGAGCTTACCTCGGGACACCAGGGAAACATAGTGGCTGAACCAACAATCTCCGAAAATTTGGAAATTTTGCTGTGGCCCGCACATCCAGTAAATACGGGCCATCCAAGTGTCCAAGTAATAATTATTTTTTTATTCAACTTTAAATTGCACCGCAACTTACTACTATCGAGATCAACATTCAAGCGCAATTATTAAGTCTGTCGCCGTCTTGGTCCATTTTTTATCGTTACACGAAAAGATAAGACAAAGTATATACTCAAAACATCATCAACTATTTGTATTTTAAACACAAATAAAGCCACTGCCACGACCGACTTTCCATTAACCTCGGCATTGATCAAGTGATTTTGTTCGTATTTTTTTGAGCAAACGCGAGGTGTTATTGTTCTTTGTTCACGATTAAGCTGACGTTTCGGCGAATTTTGCCTTCTTCAGAGCCGCTTTCTATGAGGTCTCCACTAAGTATGTCACGTAGAGACCAACCGCACAGAAATCACGTGGAAGTATAATGTCATTATCATAATGTCTCATTATACTTCCACGTGATTTCTGTGCGGTTGGTCTCTACGTGACATACTTAGTGGAGACCTCATAGAAAGCGGCTCTGAAGAAGGCAAAATTCGCCGAAACGTCAGCTTAATCGTGAACAAAGAACAATAACACCTCGCGTTTGCTCAAAAAAATACGAACAAAATCACAAATAAAGTCGACAAATCAATACATGGTTGTGATGGATCTTTAGCTTCGTCGGCTAAAAATACCGGAATAGGGTCAATGGCGAGGAGAGGGAGACAAATTGCTGCAATTGGCCCTAAACTCGCTCTGCGACAAAAGGCATCTCAGGCCAACGTCCACTATAGCCACATCAGATCTATTTCGTTCTTAAACCACTGTATATAAGGGTATTTAGTTGTAGAGTTTCACTTACTACACGTGTCTTTTAGTGTCTTTTAGTGGTGACAAATTTCCACACCTTGACGAGGTTACTTCACCTAAGTCAATTGTTACACATTCATTTCATAAGTCTCAGCCTAAGTACAGCTACCTTGCAGAACATTGTCAAAAATGTCAAACTCACCT